GTATTTTCTTTTCTTTCTTTTTTTTTTTTTGGTACCGGGAATTGAACTTGGGTCCTTGCGCTTGCAAGGCAGGCCACTGAACCACTAAGCTAAATCCCTGGCCCTCCAGTATTTTGTTTAAGGGCATACTCCCAGTAACCTGACTTCTTTCTGCTTGGTTCCACCTCCTGAAGGTTCCACTACCTGCACAAATTGGTAATCAAACATTAACACTTCAAAGTGTAGCACAAATAATAATCATGTATAGAACTAATAAAAATGATGAAGATTAAGATTAATGTTAAAAATTGTTATATGAGTGGGTAATAAAAGACACCGGTCTTGAGTGCCTTAAGTACCTGAAAAGTAAAAGAACTTTAGTACTGAAGGATTCCTTATGTATGTTTGTTTATTTGGTGGCTCTTCAGTGTTTTGTGAGGTATTTGTCAAAATTGTCTTGGTAATTTTGATGTTTCTGTATTAAAACATAGAATTGTGTAATTTGTCATGGTGATTATGAATTACCTGTTGGTTTTTTTTAGTTTATAAAATTTTTAATCACTGTGTAGTCTGTGCAATACATAATCCCTCTGCACCCATGGTTATTCTTTTAAATCAATTCAAAGTCCAGACTTAGCAAAATGTATGAGTCAAAATTACCTCTTTAAGTGGCTTCATGAAAAAGCCATGCTTTTTTTTGGAATAGGGTTTCTGTTTGGTAATTCCTGGCTTTTCTTAGGAAATTTATGGTCTTCCAAATCTTAAGAAAAATCAGTTGAGAAATTGGGAACTTGGGGAAAAAATGTTATAATTCTCTGAAATTAAAATCCACCAATCAACTACAGATGTTACTGGTTCAAAGGAATCTAAAAGTGTTAGTTGAAAGCAGAAGCAAGAAATGCTGACATGCCGAGTTACAGGTTAATGTCAACATTTCTGGATACTGGACAGGAACATGTAGGAGAAGTGGCACAATCTAATCAGTCTGGCTCTTCTGGCCATATTATAAGCATGCTTTTATGGCCCTGTCTCTTATTAATGGTGAGTCATTCTTGCAAATAAAATGTGTATACATGTAGTATAATTTAAATAAATCTTGTGAACTATAGTCCATGAAATAAGTTTTGGAAGAAAAAATAAGTCCCTAAATTAATTGGTAGTGTCAACATCTGTTTCTGTGTAGCGGTGTTAAATTTACTAGAAGTTTCAAATTATAGTTGTATGTTGCCAAATAATATTTGCTGGTGTTTTCCAGTGTTCAAATATTCACAGAAGAAATGCAAAGAAATAACATGTGAAATACTTTTAGAAATTAGAAAATGATATAAAATTGAAGTTAGTGAGAACATTATCAATTTCAATGATAAACCAAAATTACAGTTAACAGACAGGCTTTTCATCATTATAATAGGGTTTATGTGATAGAATATTCCCTAATACTCTGGTTTGAAAATGCTTTTGAGTTCATTATCAGTAAATTTGACCAAAGTTAATGAAAAATGGAAGAAAGTTTCTATATCTGTCATAGTTTTTATGAAGTAAAGGTCAAGAATATTGAGTGCAGTAATTAATGCATTGTGTTTTTAAATTTTCATTTTTTTAGTAGTACTTGTTTATAGTAGTCCATAATGATTACATTCACTGTTGGGTGTTGGTACATGTACATACATAATACATTTTATTTATTTTTATTTTTATTTTGGTACTGGGGATTGAACTTGGGTCCTTGTGCTTGCAAGGCAGGCCACTGAACCGCTGAGCTAAAACCCCGGCCACATTTTAATTTTTAATTCTTTTTAGAATGGTAATGTTAGCATTGGATATTTATAGAATTATTTTCACAATTTAAAATATCACTTGAACAGTTATCTTACATTAGCGCTCTCCCCTTTTGGGGGATTGAGCCCACGGCCTTTGCGCTGAGCTACATCTCTAGCCCTGTAAATTTTTTTATTCATTTATTTTAAGAGAAGTTCTCACTGAATTGCTCAGTTGTCCAGGGTGGGCTCAAACTGATGATTCTCCTGTATCAGCCTCCCAGAGTGCTGGGATTATAGGTGTGTGACATCACATCCAACTAATGTTTTCTTCTTTTAATATTTTCTATAATGAAATGACTATATCAGATAAAACTTATTTTTACATGTTATATGTAATCTCATAGTAATATTGGTTCATAATAAACAGATATTTTTATTCTTTTAACTAGAGACAGGGGTCTCCCTATTTTTATCTTGGCTAGCCTGGAATTCCTTGGTTCAAGGAGATAATCCTGTCTCAGCCTTCTGAATAGCCAGAACTACAGGCATGCTTCACCACACCTGATTATTTTATTTTTTAAAATGATAAAGCCCATGAAGGTTTTAGTAAAACTTTATCACAGATTCATTCTTTATCATATCTCTCATTATGTTTAGAATACATTATGAAAAGGATAGTAACTCTGTGATTTAAGGAATTCCCACAAATTCCAATTTTTAATTCCTCAATCCTTGGATTAATAGGTTTCAGATCCATTCTGAATAATTGAAGTATCAATGAAAATTTTATTCATTGTTGTGGACTCTTTCTCCTATATTAGTTAAGTTCTAGAATGGTTCTATGAAGAAAGTATTACTGTATTTTTCTTATAAGAGGAGAAACTGAGGCTAGCAGCAGGCTAACAAACTTGCTCATTGTTTCTAGGAATAGAAATAAGTTTTGAAATAAGCTTCCCTCAGTGCTAGAGATTGAACTTCACTGACTTACATCCCCAGCCCATGAACCCAGTTCTCTTCTGATTTCATAATTTCAAGTTCATGTTCTTTCCACTGATCCTCTAATTTAAAATGTACTATTCATTTAACACATTAAATGTTTTATGTATGGATAAATGTGAATTAAGCTGTTATGAGAATCTTTTTGTTAGATATAACTGCAAAAGAAAATGAGCACAGTGCTTTTAAAAATGATTTTATTTAAGATAAATAAGGAGTTACAGTCATTGGTTGAAGTAGCATTTTGGTTCTGAGTTTTGTATGTTATTTTCAAGGTCACATTTGTATCTAATCTTTTTAAATGTAGAGCAGTAGTTTTCATCTGGACCTGTTCTGTCTAAATCAGTAACCACTATTGCTATAGTACTATTTAAATTTAATTACTTAAAATGAAATAAAATTAGAAACTCAATTTCTCAGTCATACAAACAACATTTTAAGTGTTTAATTTTTTATAATATGGCTTAATGACTTATATTGTGGCAGTGTAGACCATTTCCATCATTACATAAAGCTATGTTGCACAACACTGGTTTAAAACACCAGAAATTTTCTTTGTAGAGATCATAGGTTTGGTTCTTTGATATTCCTTGTAGATATGTTGATTTAGGGATATATTCTATTATACCCTCTTTCTTATCTCCCATTCCTTGTTTTTTCCAAACTCTGGAATTACAAATATTTCTTTTTTTTTATTAGATAATACAACTTGCTTATTTTGACAATTTATCATATTTAAAAATAATTAGGAAAACACTTTAGATTCCCTAAACTTAGGTTAATAAATTGTTCATCTAAGCTCTGAGCTTCTTAAATATCGAATTTTTAAATGAGGAATGTATTAACTATTATTGTGGCAGTGTATTTTTTAGCTGTGTTTTAATTCAATAAATGTGTCCTGGGTTACATTCTAAAATAAGTATCTTTTGGAATGAATATGACATTTAATGAATTTAAGTGGTTATTAGTGGTCACTGAGAAGGAAAATGTCCTGCTCCAATTTTTCCAAAAGCATTTTACATATTAGGTATTTGTCATAATTATGATTGTTTTGTACTAAACTTTAAATTTTTTCTGATGTTGGGCCATAACTGCTAAAATCATACTTTATTGGTGATTACTTTAGAAATTAAACCCATGTAGTAAGCTATAAAGTGACTTGAGTGCATGGTAAATAAAATGCTGTAATAATGTGTTTCAATTATAGGCCCTAGTGTAAGCCTAGAACTCAGTAAAATTTCTACTTAAATTCTGTGTTCAGTTTTTTTCCTCTAAAATTGTTTAAATCTAAGTTTAAAAAAAGGCAGGGGTGGGTTTGCTGTGGGCTGAGGAGGGCTTTAGCTTTTAAAGTCTTTTGAGCAAGTTCCATGGCTGTTCTCCCAGTTAGTGAGTTTTCACTGTATTTGCAGCAAGCTAATTGCTTCTGCTAATAAATAATCTAAAATCGATGCTGACAGCACTTAATTGGCACAGAGATTTTATTTTGTAAAGCTCTTGGCTAACGACCTTCTTTAAATTAATAGCATTAAGTGCTATGAGGAAATAAATCTGAGGAATTGCCTGTCATTTGCTTGTCATGTCTAATAACTTCCAATAATGATGGCTGATAGATTTTTGCACATTCCATTATTGAAGTTGGTGCATGTAATTATTCTCCTCATTATATGTAAACAATTAGCAATATTTGGTATTTCCTTGCAGTAAAGCTGTTAAATACAAGTAACATATTAGAGGTTAGAAGCCATTTTAAAATCTAGATTTTAATTATTTGATTGGAGGAAGTTTTTCATTCTTGTCTGCATATATTTTGTGCTGCACCTAAGGGGGGAAAAAAAAAACAGGAAGGAAGGCTTTTGTTCCCTTAATTAAAAGACTAGTACTTGAGCACTTTTTGAACAGGACTTAGAAAAATAAGTAGTGTGCTGTGTGTGTGTGTGTTTAAATTTTGGCTCTGTTTGATTTATTTATTTATTTATTTTGGTGCCTGATATTGAACTTAGGATCTTGTGCTTGCAAGGCAGGCGTAGTGCCACTGAGCTAAATACCCAGTGGCCCCCCCCCCGTGTGTTAAAACATGACAATTTATGGAAATTTTTGTTTCTAGCTTGAAGAAGTCATGGAAAGAGAAACTTATAAGACAGCTAAATTAATTCTTGAAAGGTTTGATCCAGATTCAAAGAAAGCAAAGGTAAGACTGTGATGTCACTGTTATTTTATTCTGAACTGCTTATTGTGTTAGTACATTCTAGTAACATTATTGTAATCAACAGGAGTTGGAGCCACCACCTGCTGGAGCAACTGTGGCTGCAAGACCTGGACAAGGTAAATAACTTTGTAGAAACTGCTGCTGCTGTTGGGAAGATCCATATTTACCCACGTGAGTTCCCAAGTGTGTTGGTGGTGTGTAAAAAGTTATTTAGAATGCTTTTATGTTAACTTGGTAATTTGAAATATCCTTTAGGGTAAATAGCAACAATTTTATTTCATTTAAATTTTATTGGACTATGTTAATAAGTTAGAATACTGAATATTTGCTGAGATGAAAGTATGTAATTAAAATATGTAGTTAGCTTTAATTTTTGAAATTTATGTAATTTTATCAGTATTTTATAAGATTTCTTCTCTTTCAAATAATAATTTCTTGAATATTTTATGAGAATTCTTACAGTTTATGATTTATTTTACTTTCTTAATCTTGGGGATCAAACTTAGGGCCTTGCTCATACTAGATAAACATTACTGCTTTTGATTTATTCTTGGGGAGTATGATGAAGTTGTCAAATATTGAATTTCTTTTCAACACTTTTATTTAAGAAAAAATAATTTAGAAATGAGAAAATAAAATTACTACTATAAAATATTTTTTCAAGTTGTATTATCATGTTATTAACCATCATTATTGTATTATTCAATATTATGTAAGATTTTAGAAGTGGTTACATAAAATATTTCCAAGATCAACAATATTGAGTTTGTATTGGTTTTTATCTTTGTTCTTTTCTCTAGAATCTAATCATAGAAATTTGTAAGGCTTTGGTTGCCATACAGAACTTGCTACTTTTTGAAATATAGTTTCTGTTCTTGTAACTCATGAGAATTATAGATCTGTTTGAAAAGTTATTATGATATTTAGAACTTTGAAAAGTAAATCTTTTTATGAATACTCAAAAGGCAAGACATAGTTTTAGATTTTCAGGTTGGCAGGCTATGTGGAAAGAATTCCATCCACCCCAGTCATCCTTAAGCAGGTTTTTGGTTGATAGATGTTATTAGCTTTTTTTTTTTTTTTTTTAAAAGATTGTTTGCTAAAAGGAACTGATTATAATAAAATGTATTATTAAATTATAAGTGATTTGAATAAACTATACTTGCAATGAAATTTCTATTTTTCATAAGCATCTTAAAATTTTCTGTAGTTATTACTTATTTTAATATACTATAGAAAAATTTTGGCTGATAGACCAAGCTTCTATAATTTCTAAAAAATTTTTGTTATTGGGTACTCTTTTTTTTTTTTTTTGGTACCGGGAATTGAACTCAGGTCTTTGTGCTTGCAAGGCAGGCCATTTTGGGTACTCTTTTTAAAAAATATTTTCAGTTGAATTTATAGATGCGGAGAGTAGAATAGTTGTTTCCAGGACTGAAAAGGAGTGGGGGAAATGGGGACTTCTTGGTCAGAGGTTACAAAGTTTCAGTTATATAGATAACTGCGACTTCTAGAAATCTGATGTACAGTGTGATGACTGCAGTTAGCAGTGCTATATAATATACTCAAAATCAGCAGAGTAGATCATAAGTTTTCTTACTGCAAATTGAAAAGTGGTAACTGTAAGATAATAGATGTGTCAATTAGCGTGACGATAGTAATCACTTCATAATATATAAAAAATACTTGGAGCAAAGAAAAATAACCTTAATGAATATGTTTTAAAAATGTGATATTTTGCAGAAAGATTTTGCTGCCACGTGTGGTGGTGCACACTTGTAATCCCAGCACTTGGGAAGCTGAGGCAGGAGGATCACTGTGAGTTCGAGGCCAGCCTGGGCTACATAGTGAGTTCAGGCCCAGCCTGAACTGCATAGGGAGGTCCTGTTTCAACAAAACAAAACAAAACAAAACAACAAAAACAAAACAGAAAGCTATTTTTGTTGCTTAAAATAAGTTTGTATTCAAAGTTTTGTGATGCCCTTTACTAACGTTCTCAAGTATTTTTTTTGTATTTAGGCAAAATAAGTTGTTTCAAGAATTTAGTTTCCTTAGGATCTTTTGAAACCCAATGTTCTTACAGTATCATATTATAATTGTACAAAACTATTGCTGGTCTCTGCGTTGGGTTCCTGTGGTACTGCTTTTGGATATTCTTTTAGGGAGAGTCAACATTTAGTTATAACATAAATGAATCATTTGTATAAAAATGTGTTGAATAATGTGCAGTATCCTGGGGAATAAAGAGATTAATACAATTTTTTATTTTAAGAAGCTTAAAATCTTTAAAAAAATTATTTCTTCTGCTATATATTACTGTAGTTATCTCTCACTCTTCTAAGTATATTGTAATTAATTAGTGTTGAAGTTTTTCTTAACTTTAAAAGAAACTCAAACTGATATCCAAACTTTATTCCACTTTTAAAAAATTATACTTTGGCCTTGTTTAACTTAATTTTGTTTAGTATCTTTTAGTTTTTCTAATCATTTTTATAGGTGACCTAGTCATTGATTTTATGTTTAAGTTGTCAGCTTCTGTCAGTTTGAATCTAAGTCTATTTCTTTGCTTAACCACTGTTTTCATGCTTGCTATCTGCCTGTCTTTCTCTCTCTAATTTTGTATTTTGATTTTAGACTGTTTTTGAATTTAACAGAAAGTGAAATAAAAGTATTAAATGATGTACATATGTACACCCTTGGCCTTTGAGAAGATCTGCTCTTCCAAGTGAATATAATTGTTTTATCCTTATTTTACTACTCTCTTGCATGATGGCTGAACCAGAACTGTGATTCCTGTGTAGTAGGCATCTTTCTTTTATTTTGTATTACTAAGTTGTTAATGATATATTCTGTGCTCACATTGATTATAAATTTTGAGGATAATATTCTTTGATTTTACACTAAAAAAGAATATCATGCTTACTAGACAACCCATCTACCCTTAAATTTCCCATACTCAGAGGTAATACAGAGCTCTCATTTGCTCTTGTAACAAAGTTTCCCCTATTAACATCTTGTATCAACATAGTTCATTTGTAGCAGCATGATACATTATTGTTAACTAAAGTCTGTAGTTTATTCAGATTTCCTTAGTTTTCCTTTTGGGATTCCAGGTTCCCATCTGGATACCACATTACATTCAGTTGTCTTGTCTTCGACTTCTTTTGGTTGTTACTGTTTCTCAGATTTTCTTTGTTTATTATGACCTTGAAAGTTTTGCCCTGACCTTTTCTTTAACAGAATTTATCTTAATCTTGGTCAGAGTTGCTATTTTATATGAAGGATTAAATAAACAGATACCTGTATGTTTACACATTAAATAGATTTATTTGCTACTTAGATGTTTAGTATTCTAGTTTTTTAAAAATCATAGATTGGAAGACAGATTTTATTTCTTGTTATATTAAAAATTAATAAAATTTGGATTTAAATGAAAAATGGAATTTTTTATTCTACCCTGTGGAATAAAGAAATGTAGAAACTTAGGGATGGCGAAAAATTAAATTTCTTTTTAATACTTAATTTGGTTTTTATATGCTAATTTTTATTTTTCCAATAAATGTTTCATGAATATGTACTATCTATTAGAAGTCCTGGGGATATAGTAGTTAACAAAACGGACAAAAAACTGTCTTTTTCTTTGTTGAGAGGAGATAGACAATAAATTAGTTTTCGATAGAAGAAAATAAAGGATGGCTAGAATGAGGGCAGATTTTAATTTTTTTTTCTCTCGGTACTGAGAGACTACTGTAGTAATTAGGGCTAACTGACAACATGTGGTAGGTATAGGTAGGTAAAGGAAATTATCTCATTGTGTCTGATTTCTTAATAAGGGTGAGGTTTGGGGGGTACAGTTGGGAGTATGAAGTAATTCTGTAGCAGAATGAAAGAGTAAATGGATTAGAGAAGTGTAGACATGTTGGGGTATCCAAAGGGCTGCTTAAAATTCTAGTCATGAATTAAAACATGATTTTGTTTTAATGTTTACCTGTGTGGGTGTAGGTAGGTATGGAGTAGGCAAATAGTTGGTTTTAACCAGCCTTGGGTTTAAGGTTTTGTTGTTTTTTTTTAACTGGAGATCGAACTCAGGACCTTGTGCTTGTGAGGCAGGTGGCAGCACCACTGGGTTAAATCCTCATCTGCGAGGTTTTGACTAATGAATACAGAGTTACATAGCATATTTACAGGTTATGGACATTTTTGGGAGGCCATTATTCTGCTTAGCACACTATGTAAGTTTGCTAATGGGCAGTTGGAAATTTAAAATTGAAATGTAGTTTTATTTCATAGGCCTTTATTAAGCTCAATTACTTTACCACATCCTGAGGCCCTAAAGATGCTGTTCCTCTCTATTATCTCTAAAGTCTAATATATATATGGACCACAGCTAATGTAGAAGGTAGGCATGAATCACAGTAATTTTCTTTGAGAATAGGAGTGGGAATTCTTCAGGTAAAGTAGATGGACAAGGTAGTACTTTTAGATACTGCAAATAGTGCCTTATCCTTGACAAAGATATGATTCTTATCCCTGAACAAGGGAGATAGAATTCAATGTGAAGGAGGATTCATTACAAAAAACTTAGTATGCAACATTATAGAGTGAGACTTTATGTTATATGCTGAATGGAAAGCCATTAGAAGCTTTGAATTTTAGATTAAGAACATTTTTCTTGGTAACATGGAGAATGGATTGAAGAGACAGCAAAATTGAAACATGGAGATCAATTAGGATATTGTATAATATAGATAAGAGATAAAGGCCTGCACTAGGTAAAGTTATGGCAATGTAGTTGTAGAGAAAAGAAGATGTTTTAAGAGATAATTCAAGACTAGATTGACAGACTTTGATGGTAGTTAGATGTGGAAAGTGGGAGGTTAGAGGAAGAGTCAAGATGTTACCTAGATGCCTGCCACAACTTTTGAGACTCACTAGAAGGAAAGTGCCTGTGTTACATATTCTAAGATTGTTTCAGATGAGAATCTGTGTGTGATTCACTGTTTTGCATTCCTTTTGAAATGTTAAGATTACTTCCATCAGTAGATTCCATTGAGTTAAAAGTTAAGGTTAATGTGAACATTGTAGCTACCTGGGTTGAGTTAATGAAGAAGGGATAACTATTTTATAGAAAAAAATTAATCTCAATAGTAGTTGAATAGCAAAGTAGAGTTATATACTTAAATTTTTATGTAAATTTTAAGTGTATACAACTTCACAAATAATGTTTTATAAACAATGTATAAATTATTATCTATATAATTGCTTTAAAAATTCTAGGTTGCCTAGCGGTTGATTCATTGTAATTTCTGGAACCTTTAAGTTTGCGATACTAATATTAATAGCTGTTGCTTTTTAAGTACTTTTTCTGTGTTCTGGCTAAACTCTTTGTGTTGATTTTCTCATTTAATCTTTACAATAACCATATGGGTAAGTATTTTTATGAAGAAGTCAAATTGAGAAATGTCATGAACTTGAAAAAGGTTGCATGTACAATGAAATAAACAGTTAAAATTAGGAAAATTTGAACCTAAATTTTGTTTTCATAACTATGCTATTTTATCATTAAACTTTGTTTTCTTTTGTTTACTATATCATAATCATTTTTAAAAAGTCTCATTTTGATTTTCTTTGCTGGATTTAAAATTTAAAGCTAGTAGAATCTTGTCCTCATACCTAATGAGCATGATTTTTGTTGAATTGCTGGTGAATCATTGATTATAATGTTGTCATCCTCTGATCAATAATTTACATGGATTACTCTTTATCATATTTTGATCAATGTATAAGGCTTGGTAACTTTTTGGGAGGATTGTATTTTTACATTTAAATGTCGAAAATACTGAATATAAATAATTTGACTGCTTTGTTGATTACTAGATATTTTATTTACAGTAATATAAAACATTTGAGTCAAGTAGCTAAGAGTAGATAAATCTTAGATATTTCTAATTTGAGACTACAGAATATTTCATAACATTTTACCACATTATAGGTTTGGTATTATGTTGCTAGCTGTTTAAAACTATTATAGTAATCCTTTATGACCCGCTTTTCCTTTGAAAATGGTAAAAACTACATTTGCTTTTGCTCATGACTTTTCTATAACTTTTTTTTCCTCTTTGCCTATATTTAAATTTAGAATTATGAAGCTAAATGTCTCTTATGGGGCTGCAAGTTATGGACCTAACCTTTTAGTAGCATATGAGTGATTGATATTAAAAGAGCATGTTAATATCTTACATATTAAAGGCACATTCTGATGAAGCAGTCTTAAATCTTTGATCAAGAAGTAAAACTATAATAGCTGCTTTCAATATAGTCTCATTTATGCTAAATTTTTATTTATCTATATGAAAGGTGTTATTTTTGAGATACACATTACCTGAACATTGTCTAGAAGTGACTTATAGTATTTGATGATTTATTTTTCAATTAACATTGGTATACAGTATTATCAAATCTTAATATGATTTTATTGATTCCAGTATCTTTTATATATTAAATGACTTTCCTAATGTGTAACTCCCTATTAAGTATTCTTTGTAAGAATCAGGTAACAAGCTTAATAATATATAGGAAATGTTAGGATATGTTTAGTTCAGGTAATATCTGATATTTTCTACATAAACTACGTGGAAAATAGCAAGATATAAACATAGTTCCACTTATATAATGATAACATGCTTATAATTTTTTATTGTTTTAGCTTGCTAGAAACTAAATTAGAAAATTTGTTGGTCCCAGTAATTATAGGTAAAATAATTTTAAAATGCCTGGTAGGGGCTTGGGGTATAACTCAGTGGAAGAGTGCTTCCATAGCATGCAGAAGGCCCCAGGTTCAACTCTCATCACCATAAAAAGAAAAAGAAAATGCTTAGTTGTGTGAAATCGCTGTCATCTAAAATAAGTTTTCAGTAATTGTGAGCAGTCAATGAACACACATTGTCTAATCCCCAATTTCACGAGTTAAGGAGTTAATTTTACAGATAAAACAACAGATTAATCAAACCTATCTTAGGTCTCATAGCTAGAACCAAGATTTCAACCAAACTTTTCTACAAAATCCAAGTCCTTAACTAGTAAATTATTGCAGTGGACTAAGGTATGACACCAGAACTATATACTTGGAACAACATTCTTATGAAAGCCTGTCATATGATGTTGCAGTCTAAAGTGTTTAGCTTCAGAAAGTATGCATTTTTACCATTAATGTTTATGAAAACATCTTTTGTTTCTAGTGCTAATTTAGGATTTGTGAAAAAAAAAATTTTTTTTGGTACTGAGGATTGAACTCTGGTCCTTGTGCTTGCAAGGCAGGTGGTGGAACCACTGAGCTAAATCCCTGGCCCTAGAATTTGTGAACATTTAATGATACATAGAATTAAAAGTTGTAAGGGCTTCTTTGAGATCTTACTGCTGACATTCAAGTAACATATTGATTGGAATAGGGAATGTTAGAGTTTAATTTTATATTATTGATTAGAGTTCATGAAATATTTTCTGTAAAGAGCCCCAGGGTAAATGGCTTTGAGAGCTATATGGTCTCTTTTGCCACTACTAAGCTCTGTGAAAGCAGCCATAGACAATATGTAAATGAGAGCAGGACTGTTTTCCAGTAAAACTACAGAAGCAGACAGAAGCCTGGGTGTGGCACATTTGCTAACTCTTGTTATAGAAAATCGTATACAGTAGCTTCTGTAACTAAAGTTAAGATTTATTTGTGAAGAAACTGGAAGTTTTCCTTTATTGAATGTATTGGCAAAAAAGAAATTTGCTGAAAAATAGCAATAGGAGGATAGGAGTAATACTTAAATAGTAAAGAATACTTTTTCATCATTTCTATGACTACTTAGATTATTTCACAATTCTAGAGTGTATATATTCACTAATTTCTTAAAATTATCATTTTTAATTTAAAGAAATAAATATGATATTTGGAGTTTTCACTTATTCTGATGAGCTTTCTTTCCTTTATCATAAACAGGAAGATTTAATGTAAAAAGATATGACACATAATTGGGTGATTATTTTATTATATTGAATTTATTTTGAAAAGTGATATTAGTAGATAGATCAAGATGTGTACATAAATATGTACAGTTGAATTGTAGTTTCAGAAATCAAGTACTGTGTTTTTATTGTTAACATTTTATGGATTCCTTATAAGCAGTTTTGACCCCACAATGCCATTTGATATTACAAAATTTTAATAAATGTCATCATATTGGCTAGATGGTATATTGGATATTAAATCTAGTATGTTTATTCTTCTTAGAGATTCGTCAGAGAACAGCTACTCAAAGAAACCTTTCTCCAACACCAGCAAACTCTAATCAGGGACCTCCTCAACAAGTTCCAGTATCTCCTGGACCACCAAAGGACTCTTCAGCCCCTGGTGGACCACCAGAAAGAACTGTTAGTCCAGGCCTTCCATCAAACATGTTACCAAGACGTCTTGGATCCCCTGCTACTTCAGTGCCTGGAATGGGTAAACAGAGCACTTAATGTTATTTACAGTTTATATTGTTTTCTCTGGTTACCAATAAAACAGGCCATTTTCAGACAGTATGGAAATGGCATTTCATTTGGAAATAGAGCAGTTATCTGATTAAGCTGGAGTTCCATATTCAATTAGCCATAACTCTTTACAGCTGGCACCTAGTGATACTGAAACCTATTTCTTGAGCTCATTTAAGTGTTATGGCTTCTTTGTTTAAATGGCAATAAAACTGTAGTATTATTCTGTAGTCAACAGTATAACGTATCTTTTTATATTCAACTTTAGAATGGCTCCAGATTTATCTATAATAGGGAAAAAAGAGAACACTGTTGGCAAGTATTTATGTTCTTTACTAATCCCTACACATATATATTTTTTGTGCACAGACAATTTTAAATATGACAACATATTTCAGGAAGAATATTCCTACATGGCGATGCTCAATGTTACTTTCGTTAATATAGATTATAGATTTTTTTCTTTTTTCTAAATTGTAGAACCTTAGTATTTACTGATTAATACTTTATAGACTTCTATTAACATTGCCTTTATACTTTATTTCTTGTATTCTGTTTTGCAGTATTGTATCTCTGTAGAAGATTTTCATTCTGGGGAGGGTACATATACCATACTACTCTAGAATTTCTTTTGAAGTGTGAATGGGGCATGGAAGTCCATAGCATTAGCAGATCACATAATTTTATGTGAATTTCCACTTAGATTATTGAATAATAATAGTATTTTAGGATACTTAATTCTAATTTAGATTACTTTTGCATTTCATAGTTAATTATTAACATAAAAATATAGTGATTTTGAAGGTAGGTAGTCATTGATGTAGGTAATCAGATCAGGTAATAAAATTAGCAATAAATCTGAATGTTGCTTATGTTAGATTTTTGTAGTTATTTTCCTTCAAAAAATGCAACAAAATTTTAGAAGACTAGAGATTACTAATTTATAAACTAATTAGGGAAAGCTGGCTACAAATGAAATATATATATCTTTCAGCTTTTAAAATAATTTACAAAATTACTTTTAAATTTGACATATGACATTACTGTAAGATAGCTATATTTTAATGAAATTAGTTAAATTGATTGAAAACTACTCATCTTTCAGTTGTCTTCTAGTTAATTTGAGATGATTATCATTTATAAATGACAGTCTTGGTTGTTCAAGAACTTATGTACATTTGTGAATCTAGTTTTAAAGAAATAAAAGTTTAGCAACTTATATAATAATTGTATTGTACACAGGCTACAGAAGGAACAATAGCTTAAATTCATGGGCATGTAAATATTTTTTGCTAAAATTTCTAATTAGTTTTTGTGTGAAAGATTGTTTATGTTATACATTGGCAAAAATATGAGTTGATTGATTTATTATAGTGTGGACTAATAATTCATTTTTTTCATTGTACTATATTTGTCGAAGAGATTCAATTTTAATGTGTATAACCACAGAGCTCCCATATGTGTGAAAATTAATAAAAATGACCAGTCTTCCTACAATGATTGCTTTTGATGGTTGTATTAATTTCTGTTGTCCATAATAGCATGAATGTGAAAGAGTATTATTTTAAAAGTTATTAGTATGCAGGGGTTGGTTTAACATACTTTTGTGAAATCTGTTGTTTTATGTGTTCATACTGCTTTGTGGACATGTTCACTTTAAATATGTAGAAGTAAAATGTAGCAAAAGTTATGTTAAATGGTTTCAAAATCTAATTTGGGGGCTGGGAATGTAGCTTAATATAGAATGTTTACACAGAATGTACAATACCCTTGGTTTATTTATTTTTGTTTTTTTTGCTCTTTCTTTTGAGACAAGGTCTCATGTAGTTCACACTGGCCTTGAATTTAATGTAGCCCAGGCTGCCTTCACATTTTCAGTGATCCTCCTGCCTCAGCTTCCCAAGTGCTGTGATTACAGGCATGTGCCACCACCCCTGGCATTGCCCTTGTTTTAATCCCTAGCATTGGCAGAAAATATCTAATTTGGCATGCTTCTTGAAGTTGAAAATTTGATGGGCCAGGGATTTAACTCAGTGGTTCCACCACCTGCCTGGCAAACGCAAGGACCCGAGTTCAATCCCCAGTACCCCCAAAAAAAGAAGTTGACAATTTGATAATGAGAAATTATGATAACCTTCATGCTTATTTTCAATAATTGAACATTATTAGCACAAGTAACCAGTAATCAATATTGTATATACTTGATTAGTAATACTAAGAACTTGTTCTAGAAATTAAATTTCCTTTGCTAGTAGTACTTTTGATTTTGTTTTCCCATTTTTAATAGTGACAGTGTTTACAATCATGATTACTTATAAAGCACATCAATTTTTATTATTCCTTTAAGATACTGATGTAGTATTGCTACTTGAAAGCTAGTCTTCAGTAAGTTTTTGTTACAAGCATTTTGAAAACATTGTTTTCAAGACTTATCCTAATGGGGTCCCTTCGTGTTTCAGAATCTTCTCCATGTTATCCCTATTGCTACCCACCTTGCCTTACCGTAACTAATGAATTATTAATTCTTGCTATAATAAATCATATAACATTCATATTTTTGTCAGTGTGCACCATGTCATGTTTCCAAAGGCAAACATCATATTTTACTTTATTCTTTATTTCTTTACAGTGCCTTTTGTGTTGTTTCTCAATTCAGAGTATCTCTGTCCAAAAGGTTTCTTTCAGCTTTCCAAGATCAGAGTTATAATTTATAAAGTATAACATTTGATTGTTTTTTAAAGGAGAAAAATAAACTTTATTATGTATACAGTTATATAAATCACATACAAAGTACATAACTCATTGTTTTTGATAGTAAATCACTAAAATATTTGTTATTTTACTCTCCATTAGTCTCTTCTGGTATTAACCTAAATTATTAAATGAATATAGTATTTCTCTTCATTTATTTAGGTCTTTAATTTCTCTCAGCAATGTTTTATAATGTTATATATGTTTTGATATTTTTATCATGTTTGGTGCCTCTATAAATGACATTGTTTTATTAAGTATAATTATTCATTGCTAGCATTCATAAAAACAATAGATTTTTGTATATTGTACTTAATATCCTCTAATGTTCCTGAACTCTCTTATTGGGTCTGTTTTTTTTGTTGTTAATTACATAGTATTTTCTACATAGATAGTCACATTGTATATAAAGAATATTGTTTCTCTGTTTTCAGTCTGTCTTTTATTTAGTTTTCTCCTCTTATTACACTATTTATAACTTGTACAATGTTGAATAGAAGTGATGAAAATAGCCGTCTTTTTTGTTTTTCAGAAAATATATGATCTTTGTTTTATTGTTGATCTTGGGAGAAAAGCAATTACTCTTTCACCACTTAGCAGGAACTTAGCTCTGGGTATGTTTTTAAATAATACCCTTTAGGGCTAGGGATTTAGCTCAGTGGTTCTTCTGCCTGCCTTGCAAGCGCAAGGTCCTGAGTTCAATCCCTGCTACCATTAAAAAAAAAACAAAACCTTTATCAGGTTAGGAAGTGCCTTTCTAGTTAGCTCAAGGTTTCTGTCAGTAATAGATGCTGGATTTGGTCAAATGATCTTTCTGCATCTATTGAGATGTTCATATTGGAATTTGTTCTAATATTTGTTCATTTAGTGAATTATATTGATGGATTGTTAAATGTTAAAATACCCTTGCTTTCCTGGAACAGATCTCACTTGATCATGATGTACTGTTTTATATATATTTACATATCTGTATTTTTATTGTTGCATTTGATTTGTTAACATTTTGTTAAACATGTTTATACCAATGCTCATTAGGGATATTTGTAATTTTTATTTTATTTATTCACTCATTTATTTGTAGTGCTAGGGATTGAACCAAGGGCCTTGTACATGTTAGGTAAGCACTCTTACTGCTAAACTACATCCTCAGCCCTGTTTTCATATCTTTATCTGATTTTAGTATCAGAGTAATACTTAGCGCCTCTTCAATTTTCTGGACAAATTTGTGTAGAATTGGTATTACTTCTTCCCTAAATGTTTGGTAATTTGCCATTTGAAGCACATAGGCCTGGTGTTATCTTTCTGTAAATGGTTTTATTTTCCCCTTAAACTAAAAAGTGCAATTTCTTTAATCAGAGAATTATAGAATACCATTACACATGAACATAAGAAACAATTACTGGCAAGATTTTAGTAAATGAAGTAATTGTACATGTTTGAGTGAGCCCTGCTAGTGTGGTAGTCTTTCGTGGAATTTGTTTCATCTAATTTATTTATTTATTTTTTTTGGTTCTTTGAGACAGGGTCTCACTATGTAGTTGAGACTGACTTGGAACTAACTCCTCTATAAATGACATTGTTTTATTAAGTATAATTATTCATTGCTAGCATTCATAAAAACAATAGATTTTTGTATATTGTACTTAATATCCTCTAATGTTCCTGAACTCTCTTATTGGGTCTGTTTTTTTTGTTGTTAATTACATAGTATTTTCTACATAGATAGTCACATTGTATATAAAGAATATTGTTTCTCTGTTTTCAGTCTGTCTTTTATTTAGTTTTCTCCTCTTATTACACTATTTATAACTTGTACAATGTTGAATAGAAGTGATGAAAATAGCCGTCTTTTTTGTTTTTCAGAAAATATATGATCTTTGTTTTATTGTTGATCTTGGGAGAAAAGCAATTACTCTTTCACCACTTAGCAGGAACTTAGCTCTGGGTATGTTTTTAAATAATACCCTTTAGGGCTAGGGATTTAGCTCAGTGGTTCTTCTGCCTGCCTTGCAAGCGCAAGGTCCTGAGTTCAATCCCTGCTACCATTAAAAAAAAAACAAAACCTTTATCAGGTTAGGAAGTGCCTTTCTAGTTAGCTCAAGGTTTCTGTCAGTAATAGATGCTGGATTTGGTCAAATGATCTTTCTGCATCTATTGAGATGTTCATATTGGAATTTGTTCTAATATTTGTTCATTTAGTGAATTATATTGATGGATTGTTAAATGTTAAAATACCCTTGCTTTCCTGGAACAGATCTCACTTGATCATGATGTACTGTTTTATATATATTTACATATCTGTATTTTTATTGTTGCATTTGATTTGTTAACATTTTGTTAAACATGTTTATACCAATGCTCATTAGGGATATTTGTAATTTTTATTTTATTTATTCACTCATTTATTTGTAGTGCTAGGGATTGAACCAAGGGCCTTGTACATGTTAGGTAAGCACTCTTACTGCTAAACTACATCCTCAGCCCTGTTTTCATATCTTTATCTGATTTTAGTATCAGAGTAATACTTAGCGCCTCTTCAATTTTCTGGACAAATTTGTGTAGAATTGGTATTACTTCTTCCCTAAATGTTTGGTAATTTGCCATTTGAAGCACATAGGCCTGGTGTTATCTTTCTGTAAATGGTTTTATTTTCCCCTTAAACTAAAAAGTGCAATTTCTTTAATCAGAGAATTATAGAATACCATTACACATGAACATAAGAAACAATTACTGGCAAGATTTTAGTAAATGAAGTAATTGTACATGTTTGAGTGAGCCCTGCTAGTGTGGTAGTCTTTCGTGGAATTTGTTTCATCTAATTTATTTATTTATTTTTTTTGGTTCTTTGAGACAGGGTCTCACTATGTAGTTGAGACTGACTTGGAACTAACTATGTAGCCCAGGCTGGTCTTGAACTCACAGCACTCCTCCTGCTTCAGCCTCCCAAGTACTGGGATTACAGGCGTGCACCACCATGCCCAGCTCAATGATTCATCTAATTTACAAAATTTATTGCTGTAAAGTTGTTCATAATGTTCTTCTGTTATCCTTTTTTCTTTTTTTCTTGGTACTGGGGATTGAACTTGGGTCCTTGTGCTTGTGAGGCAGGTGCTGGAACCCACTGAGCTAAATCCCTGGCCCTGTTATCCTTTCAATATTTTTATAATCTGGAGTTACAGTAGTATAGATATTAGTAGTATAGTAGTACATATTAGAAGTATAGTAGTATAGATATTAGTGTGCTTGAATTTTTTTTCCTGGTTAGTGTAGCTAGAAATTTATCATGTATTTTTCATTTCTTTATGTAGATCCAGTTGTCTGCTGACACCCTCCTTCTACTTGAAGGATTTCTTTTAACATTTCTTGTATGTAGTTCTTTTGGTGATAAATTCTCACATTCAGTATTTAAGTTTGATACTTTTTTCCTCTTAGAACTTTAAAGACACTGTTTCGTTATCTTCTGTATTGCATCTTTTCTGCTGAAAAGTCTACTGTCATTCTTATCTCAATGTATCTTTTAAATAGTTTATTTGTCTTTTGATATAAATTATGTTTCTTGTGCTTGGGATTTGTTTTTGAATATGTGGGTTTGTAGATTCTATCAAATTTAGAAAATTTGTGTATGATTTACTCAGGTATATTTTTTCCTTCTCTCATCTTCAGAGTCTTAAGTTTTATACATACACACATATATATGACTGATTTTTTTTCCTTTAAAATTTTGGTAGCTTTTTTATGTGTTTGTTTATGATTTCTATTGTTACATGTCTTCAGGGTCTCCAGTGTTTTTTTTTTCTGTAATGTCTAAACTATTCACATCATCTGTGGATTTTTCATCCTAAACTGTATAATTTTTATCTGTAGATATTCAGTTGGGGTATTTTTCCATGTCTCTACTTACCGCACTGAATCATTCCTCTAGATTCTCAGATATATGGAAAAATCAATATTTCAATGTATTTGTCTGCTAAGTTCTCTGTTATCTCTGAGCCAACTTAATTTTTGTCCTTATGGCTAGTATTTTACTGCTTGAGTTTCTGGTAATTTTTGATCTGATGCCAGACATTGTAAAATTTACCTGTTTGGATAAATTTTTTATTCCTTTATAAAAACTTTTTCTGTATTTTACCCAGTGATTTTTGTTAAGAGATTTTCTACTCCAGTTGATAAAAACAGGCACTATTTCTGGCCTTGCATAAATATTATTTTATTTCATTGTTGTGGGTGGCTTTTCTGTTTTCTGTTTTTTGTTTGTTTGTTCTGTTTTTGGAGTACTGGGGATCGAACTCGGGACCCTGTGCTTGCAAGGCGGCAATAGATCCACTGAGCTAAATCCCTGGCCCTGTTTCTCTATTTTTTTAGGTAGCTTCCATGTATGCATGCACCAATTAGTAGTCTGCTGAATACTCTGGGAGACTCTCCGAAGATCTTTGAGTATACTTTCTCTATACCTTCTCTCATCTTTGGTATGCTTTTATGTGAACCTGAGGTGCCTTGGTCTCCCCTGGCACTGTCTTCTCAACCCTTTTTGTACCTCAGCAATAAGCTGGAGCATTTGTAGGGCATATCTTGTTTTTCATCTCTAAGGGAACATTGACCTACAATACCTGATAATCTCATATCTTTGTCTGTTGTTTCATATGTTTTGCACAGTTTTTTAGTTTTTTTCCTGTAGAATGGGAATCTGATCCCTGTTATTCCATTAGAATCCAAAGTGGAAGTCCTATTATTAAAGGGTTTTAGAGTTGGGGTATTTTAAAAATTAGCTTGCACAGAATCTAACATAGTTTTATCTCCTAATAAAAATTATGTTGGTGATTTTGATTTAACATATCTAAATACTTTTTGGTAGTACAGTATTTTAATGAAAATTTAAATGTTCTATAAAGATTTACAAAAATTACTGTTTTACTATTGTTAAATCTTTTAAAAACTCTGACAAGCATAGGTAGTCCTTGATAATTGAATTAAATTTTATATATGTCTTATATGTATAAACTTGATATTTATTTTTTATTTCTAGGTCTTCATCCTCCAGGTCCACCCTTAGCAAGACCCATTCTTCCCCGAGAACGAGGTGCACTGGATAGAATTGTTGAATATTTAGTTGGTGATGGTCCACAGAACAGGTAATTTTGCTTGAAGTAAAATGAAAAAATCTATCAGGGTGTGTGTGTGTGTGTGTGTGTGTGTGTGTGTGTGCGCACTCCCTAATTTTTTGGCTCCTACTTTCGGATATTTAGAACATAATAAAATGTTATGTAGCACTCTAAAATAATTTAGTTGTTTTTAGTAGAGAGTTCGAACAAAGTGTAGTTAAAACTCATTTATAAAAAATATCTCTGCAATAAGATTAATTTTAGAGAAATTGAATTATTTCATTGAAACTTTTAAATTTGAGCATAAAAGTAGTAAAAATCTGGTAAGTTGTTAAGAAATGAAGCTTTATAGGTGTCAGTATGGGTAACACTTTTAATGATGATGATAACACTTTACATTTATTTAACACATAGTTGTCAAAGTACTTTTCTAATTACCTCATTTGGCTCTTGTCATACCTCTAGGAAGATAGGTATGATATGAGGAGAGCAGTTATTGTAGTATAGACTTTAAAAATTTCAGCAGGTGTGATGGCCACACACCTATAATCCCAGTACTTGGGAGGCTGAGGCAGGAGGATTTCTGTGAGTTCAAGGTCTGCCTAAGCTACATAGTGAATTTAAGACCAGCATGGACTACATATATAGTGAGACCCTGTCTCAAGCAAAAGGGCATGTGTGTATACACACACACACATCACTGTATAGTAAAATGAATGACCACTTTACTAGTTGATATGATTTTAAATGGACCAGCTTTTATGTTAACGTAGTTGATTATATGTTATTTCAAATAGAATGACTTTTGATCAAGCCAACTGTTTGCTGGGTATATGTACAGAGAATAGAAAATGTATATACCTAGAAAATGAAGAAAATGTTGTAAGTATAACTGAGAAAAGTACAGGAGCCATGATGTATAGAAATTAACTGTTGGACCAGATTACAAAAAATGCACTTCTCTACTGCAAGACTTCTCAGAGGTTTTAATAATATTTGTTGTGAATCTCTATAAGAGTTCTGTCTTTTCCAAACTTAGATGTGACTAAATATTTGGGAGCTGTCATCCTCTGGAATATATACTGGATAATCCTGAAATTTAAATGTAATGTTATCAAATATTTTTCTGCTTACTTAAACATATATTCAACTGTTGCTTAGTTTTCTTTTTAATTTGATATTTTGTTTTTAAATGTTTGCTGTTTTAGCTTTGGTTATCTTTTGCTTTAAAGAGTGTCATTTATGATATATTAAGTAACATCTAATTTGTTAAAATAACCTCTTATATGAGCTGTGTCTTCTTCTATAACTGGTATGTTCATTTTTTCTTTTGGTGTAGGTATGCCCTTATATGTCAACAGTGTTTTTCTCATAATGGCATGGCTTTGAAAGAAGAGTTTGAATACATTGGTAAGAATTACTAGCCAGTTAGATTTTACTCTTATATATTTAATTCTGTGCCACTTCCTATATAATGTTATTTTGTTTTAGAACTAAAACAAAAATCTTTGTACGCATTGGTAACTCTGAGCAAAGCAGGGAAGACGACTCAAATTTCTTCTTCAGTTAATGAACAGCCTCTAGGGCGGCTGTTCTCAAACTTAGTGTGCATCAGAAATACCTGAAGAGCTTTAAAAATAATATCCAGTGCCTACCTGCCAAGGGTTTGATTTAATGGATCTGAAGGGGGATCTAAACATCCATTTTCTTTTAAACTCATAGATGATTTTTATTTGCTGCTACTATTAAATACTCATGTGATAAATCATGCTTTTGAAATATGACATCTGCATTATTTTGAGCAGATGAGCAGGTTTCTGGATTTTAGAATGTTTAATGATTCTATTCACTAGAAGTACAAATTCAGTAATACATTTAAATTATTATTAATATCATTTTGCTGTCCATTAACCTGATGTTTAATTTGTTATGTTATTCCTGCCTTAAAATTAGTATTCTAATAATAAGTAGGAAGAATACTTTAAAATTAGCTTTAGTTAGAATATTAATCATAATATTAAAATAACACTTTAGTATTAAAGTACATTTTACAAGGTATATTACTTTTGAAGTGTTCTCAACTATTTGCAAAAGTAATCTTCTGAATTACCTGTTTAGTCTTTGAAATTTCGTTGGTTTGCGATTTTGCTTATTTTCTAAAACTTCTCTGCAGCTTTTCGATGTGCCTACTGTTTTTTCTTGAATCCTGCACGTAAAACCAGACCTCAGGCCCCAAGACTTCCAGAGTTTAGTTTTGAGAAAAGGCAGGCAGTGGAAAGCTCAAGTTCATTTGGTCCTTTGCCATCAGGAAGTATGCTTTCATCAGAGAACCAGTTCAGTGAAGGTATGAATAAGTCACATTTTTTGTTTCTTTATAATATGTGTTAACAATTAAAAGCATAATGTTAATAGATAACAGTGGATTAATGTATCATTTTGCAGCATGCATATGTCAGCTGTTGTTCTAATGGACTGTTGTGTGATATATATTTTTATTTTATTTTATTTTTTGCCTTTTGAGACAGAGTCTCACTTTGTATGTAGTTCAGGCTGGCCTTGAAATCACCATGTAGCCTGGGGTGGCCTTGAGCTTGGAGTGATCCTCTTTCTTCAGCCTCCTGAGCACAGAGATTATAGACCTGTACCACCACACCTGGAGATATGTTTCACTTTTAAAATGGAAGTTTTAGGGGTTGGGGGTTTAGCTCAGTGGATTCAGTCCTCAGAATCAAAAAACTAAAAAATGCATATTATATTGTGATAAACAGCCTTATCACCAGCTAGATAAATATATAGAGTCAGCTCTTCTAAGAACTGTTGGGAGATTTACTGGTAATATTTTCATATAATAAATTTTTAAATTTAACCAAGTGAAGCAGATTATTAGATTATGAAAAAACTGTAAGGACAAGATATTTTGAAGAGTTATGATTAACATTGACAAAATAGGCATGTGTCTACCACTTGAACTGGTGGAAATTACCAGAAAGCAGGAAATTTTGGAATTGGAAGGTCATCTTTGCATTTTTTGGATGATTACATCAATAGGACTATGCTCTATAGAGGTCCATGAGATTAATATTGTCTTTGATGTAAAATCAAACTTATCTTACTGAAATAGAATTTATTTGAAACTTGTGTTTTAGAATACACCTTGCCATTCTATTTAGAAATTTTTCAGAAAGTTTCATAATAAAATGGAAAGAATGATATAGAAGATCTATCAATAGCCAGCTATTTCTTACTATCAATATTTGGTCAGGAGTTCTTTGTTAATCGCCTCTTAATTATGAACATTGCTCAAATTATGACATAGGTCATGATATTTGGTCCTATATTTTATGTAGAATGAATAATAGAAGTTTAATTTACAATTTATTTAATAATCAGTATTCATCCTTTTGATTTCTAGAACTTATGTTCACATATATTTGATTTCTTAAAGCAGTACGTTTTGCAAAGTTGTCTTTAACTGAAATATGACATAAAGCAGTATATTTTCAGATATCAGAAATTTAGTGTGAGTGTTGAAGTTCTTTTCAGACTTAGAAGAGTGAACCTAAAATGGGTGGTGAACTAGGCTTGGCTTTTGGCTTATTGACAAACAAAATGAAGTTGAATACGGAAAGCTATGATGGAGGCCTCTATATACTTGTGATGCTGAATGAATGTGTTTGTGTTCTTCAAGTCTACAACATCAACTCCAAACAGAGTCACATTTTTTTCTTTTGCTTGTCATGCTCCAAACTGCATGCGGCCACATGCAAACCATCTGCCTTGCCATCCCAGCCTCTTGGAACTGAAAATTAAAGGATTTCATACTGAAGATGCCTAGAGGAAAAACTGAAGTCCTTTCTGTGAATAACCTTGCTTATGAAAGCTAAAGTGAATATTTGAAAGCCAATAGTTGGGATTAAGAAAAAAGGAAAAGCACAGAAAAAGCAGTCAACAAAATAAAAAGTCTATCCTATGATTTATTTCTTCTGCTAAGGGCAAGATGGATAGTTAGCAAACAGCACCCAGCTATACCTTTCCTCTAATCTAGGAGGAGCATTGACCCAGATGTCTCATTTTCTGTCTGAACTCTCTGGAATGAAATCTAACTAGCTCAAACTCAACCCTAGTAAGCTAATGTTAATAAGTGAGACCAAATTTGAGACAAAGTCTGCCAAAAGTGAAGCCACAGTTCCATTTGGTTAAAGTCATTTCTAGAATAGTAACAATTTTCATACTTCTTTTTGGATTCACCCAAGTGGCCATGAACACCTTTTCTTCTGTGGCTTTCCAGGAGACAGAAACTTTTGAAAGACTCCTGTCACCATCCTGTGATACTGTTATCTGTTCCAAGCTGGATTCTTTTAGTAAACGACTGGAAGTATTTTGGATAATGTCATCTTAATCATCTACTCTCTTCCAGCAGCCAGTATGGCTGGAGGCTTACACTTCTGATTTCCAAATTCTTCAGTGATGTGGAAAATTAAGGACTAAAAAAAATTTTTTTTTAAATTTTTGTATTCTGAAGGTAGTTTCTTGATAGCAGCAGAAAATATAGAGAATAGGTTATTGAATTTACAGATGGGCCCAAAAGGTAACTTTCTTCCATCTAAACTTTTCTTTCAACAAGTATCAGCAACTATTTATATGAATGATCTAGAATTAATAGAGAAACATTTTTTTCAACTCCATGACACAAGCCTTTTACATTTTTTTGCCTGGATTGTGATATTAGAAGGTTTTGACTTTAGAATGAAGCATAAGGCTTTTAAAATTTCTGGAATACTCGTTAGAACAACATATGGAATCTTGGCAAGTTTTTATCAAAGAGACCTAAAAGAAATTTCTCCCATAAATTGCTCATTTGAATTTATAATGTTCTCCCTGTGACTGTTATTCTGATACTTTGGTAATAGAGAAACACAAGAAATTAGGAATATGAATTATCTTTCTTATTTGAGTGTGTATACAAGATATAGTATGTCAGAAACTGAACTGCTTTTAGATTCCTGTTTCTTTTACAATTAAATGAAGCCCAGTAATTCTTGAATCTGTGCTACATACCATTAAAGTGGTTTACAGTTTTACCTTTTAAAAAATATGCTTTCTCAAAGCTTTTATACGTAGGGAGGGGAGGGGGGTTGAGGAGAGGAATGAATATAATACAATTTATAAAAAAATACACTTTTCTAAAATATCTGATACATAGCATTCTTATTAATGTGGTAATCTTCTACATTATTAGTATTCTAGTACAGTGATATATTTTTTTGGCTAGCATGTTTTTATTGTTCAGTTGTGTTTGTCTAGGTTTCATGTAATTATTTTAGTAGAAAATAGCTTTTATATGACTAAATAATAAAATGTGTGATATCTAAACAATACTATCAGAAAATAGAAAGTAAAATTTATATATGGTGCAACATTTCCCTGGTAATCTGATTTCTGGTGTTCCTTTCATTTATACAAAATAATGTTTACCATTAGGGTATGTTGAGTAATGAAAAATTCTCCTTTTGGTATTTTTGTTATGATGCTCTTAAACTATGTGATAATGAACATTTTGTTGTTGAATTTTGAATATTTCTCATATCCAAAAATTTTATGTCTTTGTTTATATTTAATTATGCTCAGCTTTCTCAAGATATATAAATTTGCCTTTGTTGCATGTTTGTTTTACATGTAGAGATCTTCTGGGCTTCTGACTATTTTATCTAAAATACCTCCACCTAATAAGATTTTTGGCTCATAGCTTACTAATAAAACAAATAATACTTAATTTGTTCACCAATGGTAAATAATTAAATGGTATTCTGTGTTGAAAACTAGCTGTTTTCTGAAAAGTGGTTATAATTTGAATTTTATTGAGTCATTGGGTTGAGTTAGAATGATATTTGTGCCTTTGTTCCTTAAATAGGTTTTCCTTTTTCCGCAAAATAGGATTTTTTTTTTTTTGTACCAGGGATTGAACTTGGGTCCTTGCGCTTGCAAGGCAGGCCATGGAACCGCTGAGTAAATCCCCAGCCCCAAAATAGGAAATTTTTTTAAAAACTACCTTGTCTGAAACCTATGAAGTTGAAGACAAATTGTCAATTTTAATTCAATGATGTTTTTCATAAGTTTATAAGTCTTACACATATACTGAGCACTGATGTATTAGGCTTTTTTTTTTTTTGGTATTTTATGGAAAAATATTATCTGAAGTGTAATTTATACCACTAAGCTATTTTCAACTACAACTTCATAGGAAAAATAGTTTTTATTAGACTAATCAAATGATACTCTGCCATAGAAATAAGTTCTTTTCGTGAAGGGCATTGGTAGTCTTGTTATAAACCTCTGAAGTTTAGTTATGAAATTGATGTGCAGTTTTGTATTAATCTTTTATACCTAATTAATTAATTAGTTCATTCATTTAATTTGGTACCGGGGATCGAACTTGGGACCTTCCGCTTGTGAGGCAGGCGGAGGCACCACTGAGCTAAATCCTTGGCCGTATACATAGTTCATTTAGATCTTGTTTTTTCTTACACGTGGAATTGGCTTCCAAACATAAAATACCTATCTCATTTAGACTGATATTTGCATTATAGGCATGTTACATACCAACTTTTTTGTAGCGTTAGTACTATTGCTTTTCTGCCAATCAACACCATGAAAGAAAGGTAGTTATTAGTAGGCTATTTGATTATTTTCAAGACCTATTTATCATTTCAACATTTTTTTTTGTCTTCTATATATTCTCTGAAATACAATATTGACTGGAAATTTTGTCATATTTTATAGTGGTAGCACACACTACTTCTTTGAATTTATGTATTATAGACATTTCAAATTTTTAGTATTGTTGTTCCCTCTTTGTGTTAACTTTTTCTTTCATGAACTGAAAATTTTAAAATTGGCTTTGACTAGTTAAATATGTTTCTCACAAGTAATACCACAAAATTTAATGTGATAAACCTCGAACTTTGATCCCTCTTCCATTTTAGTATAGAATTGAAGAAGTCTGTCAGACTCACAAACTATGTGGTCCCTCTGTTCAGTTAAACATGTTTATTTGTGAGTTGCATCCTAGAGTCTGAAGCTTTGTTGTTAACTTGTGTGCTTTATTGGTATGTTTCAGAATTATAAAAATTTTGCCAAGCAAGTATTGCTTTATGACCAGAGAATTGTGGAAAACAGTGACACTTAAATTCTAACCCGGATAAATTCTGTGAGGATAGAATTATAAATGGTTGGCACTCCTTAAGTTTTGAGCAGAATTGACTTCCCTTTGTAACAGAAGTGCTTTGTATATGTCTGTGGAGTTTTATTTGTCCTTTTGCTTTTCCTTTCTGCTGTGGAACATTCATGTAAAACTCAAGTGACCTACTGCTTTTCTTTTCTTTCTTTCTTTCTTTCTTTCTTTCTTTTTTTTTTTTTTTTTTGGTGCCAGGGATTGAACTCAGGACCTTGTCCCTTGCAAAACAGGCGGCAGAATCATTGAGCTAAATCCCTGGCCATACCTACTGCTTTTCTACCTTGATTTTTGTTAAGCTTTTAAGCGGTACAATAGTGCCATTTTGTTTCACTTTAAGATACAAGTAGTATTTTTGTGACATTTGTCGCAATATGGTTTGTGATTATTCCTTCCTACTTTTTGTGATCAAATGAAATTTTTATACAGCAAAGCCCTTATTAAAGTTGTATGTCCCTGACTGGAATTTGGACTTTTCATTCTATACATAAAAAGGAGGAAAGTAGTTATAATTAATTTGGTAAACTAGAGTCCAGAACATAATACTTTAAAAATATTTTTAAAGCTCTGGCATATAGTATGTGAGAAAAAGATATTTTGTCTTTATTAGAACTCATACAATAAAATCATGAATTTCCAAGACTTCCATGTTAAACATGAATATAACATATAATCTCTTTGCCAAAGTATTTTATGTTGCAGAAAAATTTTTACAAGAAATTGAACTAAAACTTTTTATGAAGTGTATTGGCTTGCCCCCCAGAATTTTTGAATCAGTAACGTTTGTAGTATAATCTTCTGTGAGGGTAGAATAAATCTGCTTTTTTGTTTAACTGACATGGCTTAACCATGTTTTTCTTTTTTCTTTTTGATACTGGGATTGAATTTGTGATTTTGTGCTTGTGAGGCAGGCAGCAGAACCATTCAGCTAAATCCTCAGCCCTACCATGTTTTCTTAATAAGAATATTAATTGCTGTTTATTACAAATAAAAAGAAACACCACAAAGCTGTATTTTTATCTTTGACTTAGAAATTGTGTGGCTGAAAGTTTATATGTTCTGTCGTCTTCTCTATCCTGTTCCCCCCCCATTAAGTTTATGGTACATTTTAGGTATTATAATACAGTTATACTCACCATTAGGATATTGTACCTTTCCATGATGTATTTTAGTTATTATTTTTTCCCCTTTACCCTGCCTTCCCTTCACCCCCCCACCCTTCCCTATTTACAAAGACTTTGTTTCCATGTTTTCCCATTTCTCATATTTTTTCTTTTCCCTTCTTTCCTTTCTCCTACCCCTCCTCCTTCCCTTACTCCTTTAGACATTTTCTTCCTATTTTACAATATCAATTATACATTTTGATCCTTACTTACACTTTTAGTTTTTCACACCAAAGAAACTATTCGGTATTTACACATGTATGTCTCCATCCTGTTCTTTAAACTTTGAAGAATTAAAGGCAGTTTATTTAATAAAATTGTTATTAAGGAATTTAAATTTAATAACACTCTAAAAGAGTTAAAAGGATACTTAGAAGCAGCCCATTTGCCCATCAGTTGGAAACTGGATAAAGATGTAGTTTTTCTATGAAACGGAATACTACTGAGCCATAAAGAATGAGAAATTAGAGTCATTCATAGGAAAATGGATACATATTGAGGATATAGTCCTAAGTGAAATAAACAAGTCACACATGTATAAATACTGAATAGTTTCTCTGGTGTGAAAAACTATAATAGTACATAATATCCTAATGAGATAATTGACAATGTGACATAGGAAGAAAAGGCCTAAAGGTGTAGGGAAAAGTGGGAAGGGTAGGGGAAAGGTAATAAAGGAAAAGAAAAAAATATGAAAAAATGGAAATAAAGTGTTTGTAAATGAGGAGGGGAGGAGGGAGTGAAGGAGGGCAGGGACAAGGGGGAAAAAAAAATGAGAACCAAGACCTGTCACATAAAGGTACAAGATCCCAATAATGAATGTAACTGTACTGTATACCTAAAATGTATCAATAAACTCAATAAAAAAAATGTAACAACAGAACACCAAAAAAAAAAAAAAAAAAAGTTAAAGGAGTAAATCTCAAGGTTGAGAACAAGAACTTTACTTACCTTTTGCTAGTAATAAGAGGAAAAAGATCTTTCCTTTTTTCTCCTTGGCATGCTAGGTGTATAGCATATTCTGATTCAGGAGAGATAATGTGAAACTTGTCATGCCCTTGGAAAAAGTGGATCCTGGCTTCCCTGGCTCTTGAATAATAGAGATACATAAAGATAGGAAAGCACCACCTAAATACACACATATGTATGCATGTGCACAAAAGTACACATTGGCGTATTGCTTGCAGGCATGGCTGCTGGAATACAGTCTTTTCAGGAAGTGTGGCCTGGTAGTAAATGCAGTACCCCTGCGTGATGGGCTGTTGTCTTACAGCACATGATTTTGTTAGGACTTTGAATTTTGGACATTCAAATTACAAATTATCTTTAGGAGCTTATTTTTTATGGAAATATGAAAAGTATGATAAGGATTTATTCAAATATTTTCTTCTTTGTACTAACTCATAGGTGGTAGTGTATACAGAGGGTTCGGTACTTTGTTTTAAAAGATTTGAATGGGCTGGGGTTGTAGATCAGGGGTAGAGTACCTGGCTAGCATGTATGAAGCTTTGGGTTTAAGCCCCAGTACAGAGAAAAAAAAAAAAGTTTTAAGTATAACTAGCCCATTCTGCTGTTTCTTAGTTTGTGTGTATATGCCCTCATGCATGTGAGTGTTTATCTTTTACTTGTCTTATTCAACAGCTTTAACATTTGGAAATTCCTGAAGTCTTGAATCTCTATCTTTTCAGAATCCTTAGAAGAACAAGATGTTCTCGATGATAGTACGGAGCAGACAGATGACAAAATAACAGTTACTGAGCACACAGACGAAGTAATTGAAAAGGTGCCTGGTGCAGAGGGGCTAGAGGGAAAACAAGAAGAGACTGGCAATAAGGAAACCTCAAGAAATGAAGCCAAATCAGCAGTTCCCAGAGTGGATTCTACTCCTGATCTTGAACTAAATGGAGAGTCTTTGATGACAAAGTAGTAAATCCTTCCATGTGCCTTCAACTGGATATTTGTGATTTTGTTGGTGTCAGTTATTGCTTGTTTGATGGTACTTTAAAGAACTTTTTGCTCCTCTGAGTATATGCTTTATATCATTTAAATTCAGATCATCTAGCAATTTCAGTATGTCAAAGTTATATATGTACTGGATGCTAAAATTAAAAACAAGTGGTATCAGTGAAGTAAGATCCTTTTCAGCATACAAAGACCAACACTATTTATATACAGCTTTTAGATATTTTACATTCATTCTAAAAGTCAAAACAAAACAAAAGGTAGCATTCTTGTAAATAATGTGTTTTGACATAGGAAGGACTTTGGTTAGGAATAACTTCTCTAATAGTTTTTAGGAATGAAATGCAATACTTTATTATTACAGAGTTTTAACTCTTGAGATATTTGCCAGTGGGGAGTAAAGTTCTACTTAGGTGTTTACATTAAATGATATGAAAGTTGTAACTGTAACTATTAGGCATTGGTACGAACATTCAATAAGAATGCAATTGAACAGTCAAGTGCAGTGTTTCTTTTGATGTTTATTTTGCAGCTGGGCCAAAGGCACATGATGTATATAATTAGTTTATGTTTACATATTAACATATAGGAAATATATGCACACTCGACTGTACTTGAATTCTTAGTATTATTTATACTTGTTAAATAATGATGATACATGAGTGAATTTTGTGCTCGTTGTGTTTTTTATTAAGGAAAATAAAGATAACCTGATAACTATTTTTGTTATATATCTAGACTTCAAACAGTGTTTTGGTGGATGACTACTTGGCTATCTGGAAAAATCTTAGTAGGAAGAGCTTCACAGTATGATAAGTCTATGTAGAGCAAATTATAATGCTTTTTATTCAGACAGCAGTACTAATGAGAGGTTAGTCAGGAACACCTCAGGCCATTTGTAGTTTTTAACTTCAAGGAGGTGAATATGCTTTGTGAGACTAGGCAGTTAATTGCTAGTAGTTCATTGGATTAAGTTAGTATGTTGGATCAAATAGGAAAAAAAATTTGACCCATAATGGTAACTCTTAGATTTAAATACATTGTAATTATCTGTTTAAAAAATCATTTTTATGCCTAAATATCTCATATATAAGGGAACTTTCTAAAGAACCCAATCTGTTAATAGTCTTGATGTATCTTTGTATAGTGGCTACAATTTTTAAGCATACGGAACTGAACTTCAAATCTAGTTCTGTAATCTTGGACAAGTCACCTAGCCTTGCTATAAATGTTTTCGCATTTGTAAAGTGGAAAGAATAATGCCTGTTTTTAAGAGGTATTGGAGTGATCAAAAGCAATTTATATATTTGAAATGGGCCTTACTGACAGATAATTAATGATTACTAAATAAATAGCATTTGTTATTGACATCCTTATGAAATATGGAAGGATCTATAAATTTTTTTCTGGAAGATAAGGAAATAAAAAAATATATAAACATACAATTCACCTGCTCAGAATGAAGCCGGTTTCCTCCATCAGTCTTACTCCGTATATGTATATAAATTTGTAGTTTAAAAAAATAAGAAATGGAAACTCTGGAATATAATTATTTTTAAGATGAACTTCATCAGTTTGTGTGTGTGTGTGTGTGTGTGTGGTATTGGCCCATATACATTTTGGCAGCACCTTGCAGACTTGTTATAAAACATTCAAATTTGAATATACATTGTTTGAAAATGAGTACCTCAGAGAAATATAATTGAATGAGAGAACCAAGCAGATATTATGAGAGCTGTCTTTAAAGAAATGTGGGAAAGTTAAAAATGGGCTTACTACAATTATTGCAACAGATAATGTGCTTGTGATTGTGTAGTATTTTTATAATAGAAAAGTTTATTCTGATATTGTAATAAACAATGGTTGAAAGTAGTAAAATGTCCAATTTTTTATTAAAATTAATCATATTAATGAGGAAAACTGAGCTATTAAGTACTAACTAGCCCGAGTGATCTTAACTTTCCTGTTTATTACCACTCAATGGATCATCATCTAAACTTTTTTCTATGCCCTCAGTGTGATCTGCAAACACGATCTTTCTTTTCTCTCCTGTTTCCACCCTTATCTCTATACTGTAGACACATGGGCCTCCTCTTGATCCTCTGGCTATGCTAGCTCTTTCCTGCCTGTCTGTTTCAGTTTAAAATTTCCCTCCTCAGAAAGATGCTCTCCTAAACATATGTGATGCTGGCCACTGCTGATGGTTTGTGTCATGTCACTCTATGCACTGTTCTTATACAGTTTGTAAGTGTTTTATTTGCTCATTTACTGTCTTCACAGAATGAAGTCTATATAAGCAAGACTGTGTAATAATATAAGCAAGGATCTTATTTTTAATCTTGAGAGCCTTTACAGTGATTTACTCACTGAATGAATGAATAACTTTGTTACTAAATCCAATGAAAAATTTGAGTTCTTATTTCACTGTTTGGCAGTTCAAATTTGTTGAATGTTATCTCTGAAATGAGTTTTTTTTTCTTTTGGCCTTCGACATACCACACTTCTGTTCTCTTACTAATCTGGCCTCCTGGCTCTCAGTGTCCTTTGCAGATGTCTATTGCCTTCATGTCCTTTAAATATTGTTGCTCCCTAGGTTATGCCTGTTGTCACTTCTTCACACTGCACATTGTTTCTCTATGAACTCTCATCAGTGCCTGTGGATTTAATTATCATTAGTCTCTCTGAATGTCAAATCTCTAGCTTTGGTCTATTTCCTTCACATCTCTCATAATTGATAAAAAATAAACACATATTCTTCAAACTTCCTGTGTTTTTGATCTCCCAAACAGTACAACTATTAAAACTAGAAACTAGAGTCTGTTCACTTATCCCTTTTCTCTATATCCAAACTGTCCTTTTCTGTCTCCTAAACATCTTACATTTATAATCTCATTTCTCCATCCCACTCACATTGCATTAATAATGATAATAAACATTTGCATTATCCTGCCAGGCAATATGTTAACTGCTGTGTATGTATTATTTTATTTGTTATTGGACAGTAGTCCTGTTAAGATTCTTATCTGTGCATTAACAAAAACAGGTATAGAGGGTTAAGTAACTTGCTCAAAATTACACACTTGGTAAATGAAAAATCAGTGATTTGAATATAGACAAATGACAAGATACATTACTACTACTGTCACTATTACTACTACAACTGCTACTATTCTGTTACTATTACTGTATTTGGTGCTGGAGATTGAACCTGGGCTTCACACATGAATACACACTCCACCTTTGAGCTACCACTCTACCTGCTAGAATCCTTACTCTTAATAATTGTATTCTGTCTAATTCATGCCTCCCTCGTTGCAGATTGCCAAAACTGCCTCTTAACTGCTTTCCCCTTCTCTTCTGTGTACTGCAGCCTAAGTGAGTTTTCAAAAATGGGAAATGAATCACACCAAACCATTGGTAAGATTCTTTAATGATTCTTTACTATTGGGATAAAGCCAAACATTAAAAAACCCTGTGTAATTTTGTTCCTAGTGACCTTTAGCATCTTTTACACCACAACTACTTCCTCTTCCACTCAACTACATACCCAGACTTACTGTAGCTATTCTGTTTCTTGTGCAGGATGTGCAGTTTTCCCTAGTGTCTCAGTCTTCTCAAGCCCTTCTACAGCTGAGATACCTTCCTTCTCATAGACACTGGGGCCATTGAAAATCCATTCGAAAATCTTGCTGCTGTTTGTTAAGCTATGCCATTTAATCTTTTTTTTTTTTTTGTAGGGGTTTGAGCACTGGTCCTTGAGTTTTTTTTTTTTTTTGTAGCAGGGATTGAACTCGGGTCCTTGAGCTTGCAAGGCAGGCCACCAAACCGCTGAGCTAAATCCCCAGCCCATATGCCATTTAATCTTGAAGTTGGTATTTTTCATCATGTACTCATTGTATGAATTCATTACACATTCATTTAATATGGAGACTAAGTCAGGAAGCTGATAGTTTTGTGCATGTGTGTGAGTGTGTACATGTTAAGAGATTCTGATTATATAATCTTCATTAAATATTGTGTGCTGAGTTGCAGAAATGCTAGATGACTGTCATAGACATCCTGGGCATTTGAGCCAAGCTAGGACTCAGATCTCAACTCAAAACTTGGTTTCAAATTTATTAAATTTATAAATCTACTGACAAGTAAATATACAGGTACATAAATATATAAAAGAATATTTGCTAGAAAACATGAGAATAAAATTTAAATTAGTGTAGAATTAACACCTTATTGTAACAATCCATGAACTGTTAAATTCTCAGCCTAATTTTTTTTCTCAGGAATTAGTCTGTATTTTCTACTTTGCTACTACTTAAAATATCTTTTTAAAAGTTTTTTGAATTTATTTGATGGAAAGTATTCTACATTGCTTTTGACTAGTTTATCTTTTTTATGAAACTTTGATTCCATTTAATTTTCAATTCTTTCTGCTGCAGAGCTACTGTTAATGTTTGTACTGGTGGATTTAGAAGTTATATCTAGTTGTATCTTTAAGTTATACCTCGTTATATCTAGTTGTATAGTTCCATGTTATTGGATACTTTAAAAAATATAAATTTTCTATATCACTGTGGTATGATGCTCTTAATTCTTTCAGGAAGATACTGAGAAGCGGGGTAGCTGGGTCAAATGGAGCCTCTACTCCTAGTTTTTAAGGAATCACCACACTGATTTTCATAGTGGTTGCATCAGTCTGCACTCCCAACAACAGTGGAGTAGGCTTCCTTTTCCCCCACAGCTCCACCAGCTCTTGTTATTGGTTGATTTCTTGATAATAGCCATTCTTTCTGGAGGGAGATGGAATCTCAGTGTTGTTTTAATTTGCATCTATTGAGTGGCCAATGATGTTGAACATTTTTTAATATATTTCTATTTGTACTTCATCTCAAAAGTGTATATTCATCTCAGATGCCCATTTTTGTATTGGATCTTTAAATGGGGGGGGTTGGGGTTTTCTCAATTCTTATATATTCTAGATATCAGCCTTTTGTCTGAGGAACAGCAGGCAAAAATTTTTTCCTTCTCTGTTGTCTCTTTGCTGTTGATTTATTTTGCTGTGCAAAATGTTTTAAATATCCCAGTTATTGATTCCTTGTAATATTTCCGATGTGATCAGGGTTTGTTCATAAAATCTTTGGCTATACCTGTGTCTTCAAGCATTCTACCTATTCTATCTTCCAGCAGATTTAGTGTTTCTGTTTTAATATTCAGATCTTTGGTCCATTTTGATCTTAGTTTAGTTCATGGTGGGAGACATGGGTCTAGTTTTAATCTTTAGCATGTGGAAAGCCAGTTTTTCCAGCACCATTTATTAAAGAGGCTATCTTTCTTCCAGTGAAAGTATTTGGGCCCTTTGTTAAAGGTAAAGTAGCTGAGTGTGTTTAGAGTTGTTTTTACATGTGCTAATTTGTTCCATTGATCCTTGGTCTGTTTTTTCACCCAGTTTATAGCAGTGTAGTTTTTTTTTGTTGTTGTTTTTTTTCAGTACTGGGTACTGGGAATGGAATTCCAGATCTTGAGCTTGCCAAACAGACACAGTACCACTGAGCTACATCCCCAGCCCCACAGCACAGTTTATAATAGTTAAATTTTGGAAACAACCCACATACCCATAACTGATGAATAGATAAAGGAGATGTGTGTGTGTGTGTGTGTGTGTGTGTGTGTGTGTGTGTGTGATTATTTTATACAATGGAGTACTAAGCCATAAAGAAGTATAAACTTGAGACATTTATAGTTAAATGGATGCACATTGAGGCCATACTCAAGTGAAATAAATAGGACACACGTTTAAATACTGAATAGTTTCTCTGGTGTGAGAAACTGAAAGTGTAAGAAAAGACCAAAATGTATAACAGATAAGGTGAACTAGGAAGAAAATGTTCAAATAGAAAGGTGCACTAGGGAAAGAGGGAGGGAGAAAGGAAGAAGGAAAAGAAAAAAATGAGAAAAGAAAGATAAAATAGAAAAAAGCTTTGTAAATGAGAGGAAGAAGGGTTGAAGGGAGGGAACAGAACTGGGAAAAATATATTTTGTACAGGTAAAAATTCCATATGAATGTGATCATTATGTAATATCTAAATTGTACCAATAGATAATTTAAAAATATAAATTCCTTGCTTCCCACACTTTATCAAGTATTTATACCTTTTCTTTGGCATAAAAATCGGTAGAAGTTGGAAGTACTCTGGGAAGATTAAAAATGGTCTCAAAAATATTGCTCATAAATTAGATTTTTAAGTTTTTAGTTCAGGATTCTTTGAGAACCGGCCAAATTTTCAGCTGCCAAAGACTTTTACCAGATCTCTGGCACTTAATTTGGGAAAATGGGAAAAATTATTTTGGTAGACATAGATATTTCTCTCTTTGTCTGATTTTGAAAGATGAATAAAGTGGAGAATTGAATGAGCGTTTTAGGGTTCCCTACTCTTGACCAGGCAGGCGCTGTGCTCTAGACGGAATCACCGAATTCTCTTAGAGCTCTTAGTGACTGATCGGGCAGATTATTTTCTAGTGGTTTATAGATGGAGATATAAATAGAATTTGGACATAGAATCTTTAAATTCTTGCTCTTTTTATTACCTACGAGCACTCTTTCCTAGGTAAAAGAAATCTTTCTGGTTTCTCATATTTCGGTGCCGTGTTACTTCAGGGTAGTTTTTCTTAATCTCACACTTGGCACACTGTTCACACAACCTCCACTGGAACTACTTCATAATGGTATCGTGTTAAGGCCGGGCTGCATCTATGTTTGCTCATCAGTATACCCTTGGCATGTAGTATACACAAGAAGCTGTCATCTGAAGCATGTGCACACACAGAGCACATCGAATAGGAAATGCT